GAACTGAAGTTCCAACAACGTTAAGAGGTATCAATTGCACCATTGGAACGTCTTCTCTTTGTCATGACATATTGTGAAGATGACATGCCTGGAAGACTAATAGATAGAAGAATAAAAAAGGACTTGTTCAGAAGAAGAAATGAGGGAACTGATATCCCTTCATTTCTAAATTTCTCAGATGTTAGTTAGATCTTTTCTAACCAATCTTTCGATCTTTCAGTATTTATAGTTCATCCTTCTAAGTTCTATTTCATGTTTTGTAAACATTCAGTTTCAATCTTAAATGAAATTTCAAAAGATATGCACAACTCCATATTGTACTGAAAAAGATCCCTGAAAATAGTAACTGAGACAAGCATCTATGAGTCCTATTGTCTATCTGTTTTTATTACATTCACTGATACTCATCTTAAACATTTATCAGTTAATATGCTTTAAATGTTAAAAAAATTCAGCAATGTAATTTCATCTTGCTATGTAATTTTTCTTACAACTTAAATGAAATTCAGCAAAGTGTGACACTAGGAAAAAAAAAACTCACAAAACAATAAATGGGACATATATCTTACAAGTTTCATTTCCTCACTGTAATAGTTTACAATCATCTTAGTGTTGCTTTGTCATCATCAAATAGGGGAAGATTATTGATCCAAACTCTCTCAGTGATTGATGTTGACTCTCTCAGTGAATATTATTAAACGTTATTGTATGCTTGGATGAACCTTTCGAGTAGGCACTAGGAGGGTTAAGTCTTGACGTGCTACATTTTGGAGGTAGGCACTAGGATCTATGTCGTTTAAGGTAATGCCTTGGAGGTAGTCCTTAAGTGTGTCGAGTCTTAGGGTGTTATCCTAAGGGTAGACGCTAAGGTCAACTGTCTCTTGATTTGAAACTTGCTAAGGTGATATGGGTTTCCTCCGTTGATTCCAGATGAATGTTGTAAATGGTACACAATTGGTTTTAACTAATAAATTGTGATCGCTTATTTTATATTCATGCACACTAGACTTGTTGGCTTAACAATTGTTTCGTGTCAACGTGTATCTCAGGTTCCAGTGGCAGGACGACCAAGCAGGTTTGAGCGGCATTGTAGAGTGAGCTTGGAGAGCATTTTTGGGGCACCATGCAATGTTTAGCTTTTTTATGGTTTGGATAACAATCGATTGTTATCTAGTTTTTTAATGATTAGATCAGGAGATTGTTAACCTCAAACCAATTTATATATAAATTATAATTTAATTGGTATATCATGTTCCCTATTTTATGAAAGCTCATATCTTGATATTATATACCACATTTTCGGTTTATTTGTAAAAACTTTATTGTCCAATTTTTAGAGTGTTACAGCACCTCAAAAAAAACAAATCTAAATATGAAAATAACATGAAAATTATTAATCATAACTAATATCATATAATTTTTATATGTGATTATTACTACATCGGCCAACTAATCACCTAATTGTACCTTCTCATTGAGACCATATCTTTATCTCTCACTTATCATTGTTTGTTTTTTTTTCTTTAAAATACAAGTCATATGCCTCATATGATAATATATATACATAGAGAGGGGTTGGTTATTATACAACCCATGACATTTGTGCAACCAATACAACTCAATCTCAACCGTCCATTTCATTTGATTAATATATGATTTCATAGAAGTTTTGATTGTTTCTTAATATAAAATATTGATCATAATTAATGAACCATATTCATCTTCCATAAATATTCAAATCATTATAAATAAACTATCATCATTTCCATAAATATTTCAATTTATCGGGTTACATTGGTTATACAAATACGACGGATTGTATTTTCAAACATATATATATATATATATATATATATATATATATATATTAATTATTAACAAAAAAGTAATCAAACAAATCAATATCCAGCCCAAACCATATCCACTTATACATCGTTATCAATATTAAATCATCATATCTATATCTCTATCTCTCTCTCTCTCTTTTATATATATATATGGTTGGTTCAAATGTTAACCATGTTTATTGTGTTAACTTTGTCAATTAATCTTGGTTATTGATCTTTAAAATTTATGGCTAAGATCATTCATGACATAAAGTATAATTAATTGCACACATAGACAAGGTTCATACGAATGTTCATATATGTGAATTTCTGTTTATATGCTCATACATATTCATCATCTTTTGTATGTTCATTTTGGGTCAATATGTGTTCATATTTATACCAAATGTACATATAGGTCAATCTATTTTCGTAATTGACACAAGTGTTCATATATGTCAATTTATGTTCGTAATTCACACAATGGTTCATATATGTCGAGTTATGTTTATATGGTTGTACGAATGTTCTCATATGTGAATTTGTTTTCATATGATCACACATGTTCATCATCTTTTGTTATGTCAATTTGAACGATACCGAAAATTTTACTAGCGGGTCTCCTCCACCAATCACAAATTCATAAACATTAGAGATAGAAAATCAATATTAAAAAAAATAACAAGATTAATAATAAGTTAACACAAATCACGTGATTTTATGATTTTGTAACTCCCAATTAATGATATAGGAGTTGCATAAAAATGAAAATTACATATGTACTTTTGTCATTAAATTATAAGATGGATATGAACCTAATACTAAAATGTATTGTGATTGGTTGAAAATAGTTAACAAAGTTAACACAATAATTTGGGTTAACATTTGAACCAAACGCTCTCTCTATGTATACATTAATTATTTTCATTTGTAAACAAAATAATTCCAGGATCTCTAAAATCAGTTGATAGAATAGGTTATGTTTATGTACTAATTTTGAAGTCGACCAATCTTCAACCATTCTTAACTGCCTCTCTCCAAGTCTTTGATGAGTTACTTAATTCTTACCTCTTACCTCTTGTTATTGAATTGTTTTCATGACTTAATGGGCCAGTCTTAGCTGGACCCTATCTCTTTTGGCCCACTTAATTAAATGGCTGGTCAGATCAGATCGGGTCAGGTCAACTGAAACTAAAGACAAACTGCAAACGAAGAAAATACGTTATCTCAATATTCCTCATATTTTTTTTTATCCATAAATTAGTTGAAATACATATTATTGAAGAGGAAAGATGAATAAAATAATATCTTATAGTAAGGGGTAACAAATAATAACATCTATTTAAAATAGAAAAAAATAAAGATTTTGTTTTTTTATTTTTGTCTAATATATAGTTATTATTTTTATTCCAGTAAGATCGATCTATGTAAAGTTATAGAATATGTATAATAATAAAATTAATATTGAAATCTTTAAAATAAGAAATCTCGTAGAGGTGTTATTAATGCATCTCCAACAAATTACTCAAAACGCAATAAATATTTGGGGATTTTGGGCATGTTTTTTTTGCTCAAACAAACTTTTTATAACATTTTTGAAGGATGAGAAAGCGGAAATATCTTCAAATTTAAAGAATATTCAGGAAATAATTACAATGATAGAAATATTTGTTAATAATTTCTACCAATAGGAAACTTCAAAAATAAATAATTAAATTATTTTATCAAAAGAATGAAATGTACATTTTAATAATACAACCAATTTTATTATTTTTAAAATAGAGAATCCATTGGAGTTAAATGTAATTTTGTTTTAAAGATTTTGAAGTTTCTTTTTGCATTTTGTAGAAATTCGTTAGATATGCTTTTATAATTTCTCTAAGACGGGAAATCAAAACTTAAAGTTATAAACAAAATTAGAGTCGACTTTAGTAGATTAATTTCTCTGAAATAGCAAATCAAATTTTGAAATTTCTAATTTTTTTATACTCAACTTCAATAGATTTTCTGTTTTGAAGTTTTAAACTTTAATCATTTTATTAAAAAATTATATAATTTTATCATTTCAAATTACATATTTAAATTTTTTATATAAAATAATAAAAATTCATATCTGATAAAATAATAATAATAATTCATCCTCCTATCTTCACATTAACTTTAGAAAATCCTTTGAACTTGAAGTTTCAAACCATTTATGAATTATTATATATTTTGAAGATTTCAATATTAATTAAATAATTAAAATATTATATATTTATATATTTTTAAAAAAATTTATATAAGATAATAATAATGCATTTTTATTGGTAGGAAAAAATATATAATAATAATCTTTCTTTCCTTATAATAATTCAATTTTATTGATGAGAAATTCTCTCTCTTCATAATTTATTTTAAAGAATTATCAAAACTTATGCTTTTCTTGTTTTTTTTTTTTTCTTCTATTTTAAAAGACAATACAGTGAATTTGTTGGAATACAAATTTATATTTTCTTTATTTTAAAGAATTTATTAGGGTTCTTTTAAAACTTTAAATTAAGATAATTCTCTAAAATTGAATCATTTAATTTTTTAAAATTAAATTATATAAAAATTTAAGAGATGTATTAACATCATAAAATTTTAAAATAAAAAATCTGTTAAAATTGTATATAAAAGAAATTAGTTTATGATATTAGAAAAACCATAAAAGAAAATAATTGAAGATACTGTGTGTGAAGTAAATAAAAATTGGAGCTATATTTACGGGTACTGGACATGCATTAAAATCCAAATCCAAATTCAATGCATCATGAGTTGTACCCTTAAATTACGCCAGCCAAGTGTCGCACGTGACTTTCATCATGCAGCAGCTACCATACGCTTTGCTACACCGTTTTATTTTATCTTATTTTAAAATTAAAATTTACTTAAAATCCATTCAATTCTTTTTGTAGTTAAAAATTAAAAAAATAAAAACCATAAAACACATTAACCCTCAATTCTCTACCGATTTACTAATAAATATGAATAATTGGTTTCGTCTTCTGGTGTTTGTGTTTACATGTACATGTCTTTTTTGACCCGTTAAACCATTTGATAGTCCGGTCCGGCGTCAGCCGTCTTCTACCCCATTATTAATATATATATGATATATCTTTCCCTTTCTTTATACTTCATGTGGCATTGATTACCTTCTTCATCAACATTCAACATCATCATGTTTCTTCTGATTTTGTTTGCGTTTTTAGCTCTGGTAGTCGGTTTCTGGTTGGTTCCTCGGGTATTATCCAGGACTTCCCTAGGCCATTTCCTGTTAAATCGATGGCGATTCTTCGAGGAATCTTTTCACGCCCACCAGTTCTACAAGATTCCCAAATTCAATCAGCATATGCAAGAGAATCAAGTTTATCATCAAGTTCTTACCTATCTTAATTCCTTACCTTCCGCTGCGGATTCCGATTTCGTCAATCTCTTCTCCGGTTACAACAAATCCAACCAGATTATTCTCGTTATAGATGCCCACCAGGTGTTTCCCGACACCTTTCTCGGATCCAGAGTCTACTGGAAGTTTGATAAGGATTGTTTTGTTTTGAAGATGCGAAGGAAGGAGAAACGCAGGATTTTAAGTTCCTACCTTCAACACATTCATAAAGTCGCCGACGAGATCGAGCAGAAGAGCAATGAAGTCATGCTCTACATCAACTCGGAGAATGAACCAGAGAGGAACGGAAGGTGGATATCCACTCCGTTTACACATCCGGCGACGATCGACACGGCGGTCATCGATTCCGACCTTAAGAATAAGGTGAAGTCTGATTTGGAATCGTTTTTGAAATCTAAACAGTACTATCACCGTCTCGGTCGTGTCTGGAAACGAAGTTATCTACTGTACGGTCCCTCCGGCACCGGAAAATCGAGCTTCATTGCCGGAATGGCAAAGTTCCTCTGTTACGACATATACGACGTGGATATGTTAAAAATCACCGGCGATTCCGATCTGAAACGGCTTTTGTTACAGACGACCAGCAAGTCAATGATCGTCGTGGAGGACTTGGACCGGTATCTTGCGGAGAAATCAACGGCTGTGAGTTTATCTGGAGTTTTAAATTTCATGGACGGGATCATCTCATGCTGTGGTGAAGAGCGCTTAATGGTTTTCACAGTCAGCAACAAAGATCAAGTTGATCCAACGGTTCTGAGGCCCGGTAGAATAGACGTCCACATACACTTCCCCTTATGCGATTTCTCCTCATTCAAAAATCTCGCCAACAGTCATTTGGGGATTAAAGAACACAAGCTATTCCCACAAGTCGAAGAAATATTCCAAACCGGCGCAAGCCTGAGCGCAGCCGAGATCGGTGAGATCATGATATCGAACCGTGGCTCACCGACACGAGCTCTTAAAACCGTCATCAATGCATTACAAACAAACAACGATGCCAAGACCACAAGTAGCAAGACTGGATTGATTCATAAGCTAACACACAATGGTTCGGTTACTGGATCATCTGGTGCACCACGTAACTTGAGCCACAGTGGCTCGATTGATGGGTTGGTTGATTTGCCCTCAAAATTGACGCATAGTGGGTCTTCGAGAACCATAGAGGAGTCAGGTGATTCTGGGATATTTTGTATGGAAAACATGCATACAGGAAAAGAACTCAAAAAGTTATACGGATTATTGAGGAACAGAAGTCGTCGAAAGGAATCAGTTGATTTAGATGGAGGAGATGCAAAATTATCGACATGAAACCATGTCCAAACAATTTCGGGTACAAATTAATTTTGTTTTATTTAAAAGATTGTTTTACATTTTTTTTAGTTCAAGATGTGTAATTTTTTATTGTAAAGATATGAAAAGGAATTTCTTTTAAATATCCATGAAATTATGATAACAATGAGGATTGATGAAATCATGTGTTATTTTATATAATTTTTTATTCATGTAATATTATGATTTAGAATATCAATTAACATATATTTGTTTTATAATGTGTATTTTTCACAAGTATTTGTTTCACAATATGAACCATTTTATCATGTTTGCGAAACAAAAGTTACGTGTAAAAACTTTCACATTATGAACTGCATACATATAAATCAAACACAGTGCAAACAAATATATGTTTATCAATGCGTTAGATGACAATGTTAGCGTTAGATGAAAAAAGATCATGTGAAGCGATACCATAAGATAAAAGTTCTTATGGTTATGATAATATATGTATTTCTCAAATGATTAAGCTCCAAGATGTATTTTGGTTTTTAATATACAAGTTGTTAACCAAAACTCTCAAGATTTGGATTTATTGGTAGATACACAAGCCTTTCAAACCTGTTTTTTAGTAATTAAGAAATAACTCTTCTACAAAGTGAAAATATGAAAAATAATATATAAAATAAATGTCTCCTAGGAGTTAGGTAGATTGAAAGGTAAAACTAATTAAATCAAAGTGAAATTACCAAATTGGCCTTCTTATAATGAAATACATATTTTTTTTAGGGATATAATAGTCTTTAACTTATTAAATACTTTAAAAACTCAAATCTTTTCATGGTTCTCTGATGATTTTTAGAGATGGATATTTGATTGGAACAGTGAACCAGAATAGAAGAACAATTCTAGTTTTTTTTGAGCAACTTCTTTTTGAATCGAAATAAAGACAGGTTTTTGAATCAGTCTTTGATAAAGACTAGTACACTTTTTTTTCACCACGTAAGCCCACCTGGTTTGGACTTTTATTTTTTTTTAATACGTTAAGTTTTTTTTTCCCTTATTCTTTTATAAAGGAACAAATCAAATTTTTTCTAACCATACCCAACCGAAGTCGAAGTTTTGTAGGGACTGGTCATAGACCAGACCAAATTGCAAGTCCAGGTTAACCAAAACGAACTTTCTAAGGATCGATCATGGACCAGACCAAATCGTAAGTCTATATTCGGTCTTTTCCTTGTCAGCTCCATACTAGTTCTAACTTTTTTCAAACCGGTCCATGTCCACTCTAGTTTGATGTTATTAGTAAGAAATACGTTATCTAAAATATGATAAAATTGTGTTTAGAATCCATGTTCTTTTATTCAACAATGTTATTTAAAAAATGAATTTAAAAAGAATAAGTATTTAATAATTTATATTTTGAAAACTATAATCTACATTTTGAGAAAATCTTTTCAAAAGACCCTTTCAAATTTACCTTAACAGGTAAGGAAGGTGACACATTTATAGAATAAACTAGAATTTCAGGGTTTGATTCATGACACTATCTACACGGTTTACTTTATTTATTAATTATGGTTGTTAGACTTGGTCGTTTACCAAACACTTACTCGATAAGTGTTTACTGGTAAAATTTTACATTATTATTTACTTACCGGGTAAGATTTTAATCAACAAAAGTAATATCTTATACAACAATTTATCCGGTAAATATTAACCATGGTAAGAATGTCGTTCTCACTTATCAAATAAAAATTTTAAAATAAATGAATTATCTAGAAGAAGTTGACAAATGGGCACACACAAATGACCCCCCGACAATTTAGAAAAATTCGTAAGACATTTATGGGGTCTCCATTGAGTTGACCGCAAGCACTTGGTCAACTAAATCATGCTCCCTTCATTATTTCATACATTATGACTTTTAACTCAATTAATATTTAATCAAGTGTTTATAAAAGACAAAAGTTGTTTCATTATGGTTTGTTGAAAATTATAATTTTTATTTTTATAGTTTAAAATTGACGGTTTTCGTTTTTATCGTTTTTATCATTTGTTATTTTCATTATTATGATTTATAATTTATTGTTGATTTGGTTCTATCATTTAACATTCTTTATTGTTATGGTCTTTTATACTTAAAAAAACAAGAATTTGTACAGGGATGAAAATAACAAACATTATAAATCATAGAAACGAAAATCACAATTTATAAACCACAAAGACTAAAATTGAAATTATAAACAAACCATAGGGGCAAAAACCGTAATTTACTCAAATCTCTCTCCTCCCCCCCCCTTTCTCTCTCTCTCTCTATCTTTCTCTCTCTCTCTCTCTCTCTCTCTATATATATATATATATATATATACTATCTTATTAAGCAAATTGTCTAAAAGTCTAAAAGTCTTAAAATTTTAAATACCCAAAATACCCTTATATATCTTTACCTCTCCCTTTACTCGGCTCCCCTCCCCCCAAGACGACGCTTCCGTTTACCCAGCTCCCAAGACGACGATTCAGGGAAACTGATCTCTCACTCCCCAAGATGATTCCCTTTAAAAAGAGTCGTCCCTCGCTTCCCTTTAATCGTTCAATCGTCCCTCTCATCACCGCATATTCCGAATCGTTCAATCGTCCCTCTCAGATTATGATTCAAGGCTCCATTCAAATGCTTCTCGATCCCTCGATCCTTCTATCGCTCCTCAATCCAGGTAATCGATTCAACATAGAGTACAACTTATTGATTCACATTTAGAATATAGGTGGCAACACTACTCTAAAAAATATCATCTTCCCAAATACGCCTCTCCTTTGCTTAGGTAATAAGAAATGTGGAGACCTTGAAACGACACATGGAAGGGCTTTGGTTTCTGGTTTGGTTCTGTACAAATATGGCTGAAAATGGCGAAGAAAAACAAAAAGGTATGTATCTACAATTTTCTATTTGATCAATAGATAGGTGTTATTGAATGAATCAACGATTTTTGTGGAGAACCAAACCAGAAAACAAAACCCTAAAATCTCAAAAAGTCATTTTAAAACATAAATTAATAGGTAGGTAGGTGTTTTATTGAATGAATCTACGATTTTTCATTTGATTTTGTTATCCAGGTCGCATTTATTTCTGTTAACACTTGAAGAACAAAAAAATAGCAAGAAAAACTGATGGAGACGAAGTCTCTGTTGTTGTGATGAAGAAGAAAATGCCTACTCCACTAGAAAATAAACTACATTTTGCAACATCTCAATCCATCTCCCTTCAACCTTCAATCCATCTTAGATGGACTTAGCTATTTGACTTAGTTGGACTTAGCTATTTGACTTAGATGGACTTAGCTATCTGGTTTGTAAGTCCATAACCAGACAGCAGTCCCAAACAGTTCTTGATAGAACAGTCTGCACTACATTAACAACTGTTTAGACCATCACGGGTCTGTTTCTGTTCAACAGTTTCGTTATTGTTTGTGTGTAAGATGAAATGGAGTTGCTGCAGTTAAGACCTTGCAGTTTCACTGGATAGTGAATGTAAATCCTCATACATATGTATCTATATATATATACACACACACACGCACATTGTGCACACACACCTATTGCTAACTCACTAACAATCTTCTGACAGGGATAATATGATGTGTGTGAACAGGGCTAATATGATGTTCAATGTGTAAATCACCCAAACACAAGCTGCCATTTATTGAAGATGACAAGTTCAATCTTTGTGTTCAATCTTTATATTAAGTTCAATCT